CAGTACAGAAAAAAATCCAGCTGAATGTGACTACTACTTTGGCCCCATACACAATGGGTGTTTAGCCCCAGTGCTTGGTGCTTTAGCATTTAGCTGTGGGAGTAGGGCGCAAGTGCACCATTCAGACCCAGCAGCTTGTCAAACTCTAAGAGGCTGACAGCTGCTGCAGCTGGACATTGCATCTATCTGTATGAAAGGTTTGTGTAGCCTCTCATAGAATTCAACAGGCTACTGGCAGGGGGGGTTGCACGATACACCTGTGCCTTCCGCCCACAGCTCATCACCAGAGCCCCATACATCAGGGCAAAATGCCCAGTGTGGGGCCTTAAATAACAGTTAAATAGTTGAAGTCATCAGAGCCCCCCCCCCCCCCATTATTGTGTGCATGGAAAAGTATAACGACATATTACATTTGCCTCCTTACATTCTTTCCCTAGATAATTAATGGCGCTCCTGTTAAGCTTTCCCTACTCCTGCTACACAACCATCAATATTAAAAGACCCTAGGAAATGAATTTGCACTTTATCTCAGAGCATATATCATGGCAACATGTATAAAGTGTAAGAATAAGTAACTAATGAATTTCTCTTTGAAATGATGTGTTTAAACAAGGCCAGAGAGAAGAGTGTTGTTTTTTCCATCTCTCAGTATGCGTGGTGAGTTGTAAATCCCCATTACCAAACCGTATGATGTAATGGACAGTTTTGTAACTCTAAGACTTTCACTTTCGTTTCAAAAGTGAATTATCATTTTGATGTGGTTGTGTATTATACCATCTTGCACAAGAGGTTCAGTATCGATTGCCTTGAAGAGAGAATGTGCCCAGCAGTAAAGAATATACAGGAGGTGAGTATTTAAGGCACCATTCTGAAATGATAACAGAAGAAAAGGCAGGAAACCCTGATTATAATTGTAATATTATGGCTTTGGAGAAAAACTCAGCTTAGCTGCTGAGCAATTGACCTTTGGCAACATTTAGAACCAGCTTAGATACACCATGTAGGCCCTTTATTCATTGTTGTCACCAGATATAATTATCAGAAAGATCTGTAGGTGCTACAAATCTCTACCTTAAGTGCCCGATCACACTGGTGCGATTTCAGGTGATTTTTGCGAATTGAAATTGTACCTGAAATCGCATCTAGTGAATGTCAGTGTCTTAACGTGCGATTTGCTGCAGTGCAATTTCTAAAGTAGTTCTTGCATTACTTTTTCTGCGGTTTTGTTGCAATTTCATATACATAAAATATAATGGAAATCGCACTGAAAATTGCAAGGAAAAGTTGAAAATCTTCACAAATAGCAATAAAGACTGCAGAAATCACACCTGAAATCGTGCTGAAATTGCTGCGATGTGACCAGTGACTAAGGTTGCCGGAGTGACATGGTCCTCATTAGTTACAGGTTGGGAGTAATGTTGATTTGTAGAAGTTCTCCAGTTCACATTACAGATTGCAGCAGCTGTTTCTCCAGAGCAAGTTTATGAAAATGATAGAAGTTTTTGATCTCATTTCCTTTACCCTCCCTTACCCTCCCTTACCCTTTCCTTATATACAATTTTGTGCTGATATTTGCCCCACTCTTTTACCTGGCTGACTAATGTGGAACACCGTGCAGTGTTTAGTATTTTATTTTATGTGCTGTATATATACACTGATAAAGCTACAGTTATGATTAAACAAGCAAATAATTTATATTTAATATCCATTTAGACAGAAAAAATAGAATAATTGATGTTGACAGTTGTCTGGGAGCAGAACTGATGATAAAATTGTGGGGTGTTGGATTTGTATCTGCTTTTGCAATTTTTATGATACTAAACATTCAATTCAAATGTTATTTTTTGAAAGCATGTTAGGAAAAGAACTTTAGTTTTCACTTATACAATTACCACACATTAGCAGTGTGTTGTAGTGCCATTCATTGTGAATGGTACCCTAATAGACAGTTATATGCCCTTAATTTTTAATGGCACCCCAGCACAATGTTACAGCAGCCTGCAACGCACCTGCACTGCAGCGCAGCGCACAACAACGTGTATACAGTGGACTTGGTGTATTTTTGGAAAAAAAAAGGTGATGACTGTTTCTCAGGCGTTCAGGTAGAACACCTGGTATTGCATTGCATTTGAGCATTAAAATGGAACTATGGTCTGTTGTGGGGCTACTCATTGTAAATGGCACCCCAAAGCACTATTACAATAGCCTTTTTGCACTCACAGCACAGTGCAGCACAAAGCACATGGCATGCGTTGTGGTGTACTGAATTAAAAAAGTATTTTTTTTTTGTTTTTTTTTTAAGGTCTTCATAAACCACTTTAGGACCACCTGCCATTGTACTGTGGACAGGCGGTACAGTGCCTGTACGTCGCTGGCTTCTCCTGGGTACAGTCTAATTTTGTCCGCAGGTCCCAGCCAATGATTCATGGCCGAGTCTTGCTGATCGGCTGTGTCCAATCACACCCCAGAGCCCTGTATTGACAATCAACACAGGCTTCTATACAGAGGGAAAGATCTCTTTGTTTCTTCTCCCAGCAAGAAGAAGAAACAAAGAGATGTTAAGTAAAAAGCAGCTCATAATACACACATTAACACTTGTTAGGCACACACTTAACCCCTTGATTACCCTGAGATGTTAACCTCCACCAAGCCTGTGTCAGTAGTACTGTGACAGTGCATAGTATTATCACTGATCATTGTATTAGTGTCACTGGTGATGTCAGCGTCAGTTCCCACCCAGTGTCAGTTAGTGTCAGATTGCCCACCACACTATCACAGTCCCACTATAAGTCACTAACCATCGCCATTACTATTATTAAAAAAATCCAGTATATATACAGGCAGTACCCAAGTTCTGAAAATTTGAGTTACGAATGAATGAACAAGGGAGACATAAGAGGTGAGAGAAAATCTACCGCTAGGAAGGGAAATTCACTATAAAAGTTATTATGGGAAAAAGACATCTCCACTGAAGGTTTATCAAGGTTTATCACTTGTCCTCCACAACCCAAATTTTTCAAAATCCAATTGTCCCATGGACAGAAAGTGAGGTGAAATCTTCTGAACAGGGTCACAGACAGCAAAACAAACATTACTGGGGTGTTAACCCTTCCCTGTGCTATCCAAAAAACTTAAAAATATTTTTTTTGTCTGGACCTACACTTAAAAAATGTACCTGTTCCAAATTACATAAAAATTCAACTTAAGAACAAACCTACAGACCCTATCATGTTCGTAACCCAGAGACTGCCTGTACCATAGTTTTTAGATGCTATAACTTTCAAGCAAACCAATCAACGTACAATCATTGGTATTTTTTTTACCAACAAGCGCTATTTGTGTGAAAAAAAAAATTATATAAATTTTGTCTGGGTACAGTGTTGCGTGACTGAGTTAACGTAGCGCAGTGCTAAATAGCGAAGGAAGGCCTGGTCATAAGGGGGTTAAACCCTCCGGAGATGAAGTGGTTAATGTAGCACACCTTAAAGTGGTTGAAAAGGTTAAAGTTTTTGTTTTTACCCTAATTAATTCTCTGCCCGAGAGCAACGGCGCTGTTCTCTCTCCTTCCTCACTGGAGAGAGGCCATTGGCTCTTGCTGCCATCAATCAAATCCAGTGAAGAGGGAACGAGGGGCCAGGCTGAGCAGCACTGTGTGTGTCAATAGACACACACAGTGTGGATCAGAATTGAGCCTGCAGGAGTGCACCCCTAGCAAACGGCTTGCTAGGGGGCTATTCAGCAAGGGAGAGGAGCCAGTAGAGGAACCCCAGAAGAGGAGGATTGAGGCTGCTCTTTGCAAAATCATTGCACAGAGCAGTTAAAAATCCAATTTAAAGCAGAATGAAACCCTCCTATCCTTTACAATTAAGGAAGATACCAAGTTAGTCTCTAAATTGCAGTTGACATGCACATGTGATCAGTTATGACACTACGATCAGTTATAACACTAGACATTTGATAGCTTGACAGTTTGGTAAAGAGCACAAGTAACCCTGGCAGTAATCAATCACAACATGCCATAAATGTAACTGTTTCAGGAAACAGTTAAATTGATGGGTTCCGTTGATGGATTTAGTATTAATGCATAATAACACACTGCATGCGCTTTAACAGAACACATAGGGGTTTGTTTATAAATGTTTTCACACAATATTACATATAAAAATGTGTGAATCTTGGTTGAAATTGTGGGAATCGTGTGAAAATAGTTATAAATACCGTAGACCCTATAATGTGAAGAGATGCTAAAACTCCCTGGAAAAAGTAAAATTTTCGTAGCAATACTCAGAGCATAAAACAGTCCTAGTCATGAAAATCCAACACAAGCTGGTCCATTTGTGTTGCTGGTTCTAAAATTCTGTATTATTATTTATTTAATTATTTCAGGTACTTATATAGCACTGTCAATTTATGCAGCACTTTACATAGATATTGTACATTTACATCAGTCCCTAACTCTCAAAGGGTGCACATTCTAAGGTCCCTAACTTACATTCATACATACACATACTAGGGCCAATTTAGACAGGATCCAATTAACCTACCAGCATGTCTTTGGAGAGTGGGAGGAAACCGGAGTTCTCGGAGGAAACCCACGCAGGCACAGGGAGAACATGCAAACTCCAGGCAGGTGGTGCCATGGTTGGCATTCGAACCAACGACCCTAGTACTGCCAGGTGGAAGTGCTAACCATTTAGCCACTGTGCTGCCCTTAATGCTGTAGACTGATTTATTCATTTTATTGAAACATTTCACTGACAAGAAGATACAAATACCTTTTCTTATGTGTATTATTTTATATGCAAAGCCATTGTGTTTATGTCTATTGGTTGCTATGCAGCTTCTGTTGTAGGAGTTCTATGTCAGGTGCCTGTTTTCAGGAAAGGAGAGTTAAAACAAATCTGTTTCATTTCATCCGTTTGTGTATACAGGATGTGATGTCATTCAGAAATTTTCTGTATCTTTCCATTTACATTTTCTCACCTCTGCTTTTTCTACAGATTAACCCAAATGAAGTATTTTGCCATAAAAAGAAACATTATCTTCTACATGCTGACTGTCCGGCGCAGCAGGTTACTGTGATGAGCAGGCATTCTGTTTCTGGTGCAACACTTCTGCAGATCGATGAAGAGCTGGAAGCAGAGGAGCGAGACACGATATTGTTCGCTTGTCGAGACATCACATCTCAGACAAATGTTCGGGAGCTGTTAAGTGAATTAAATGAAAAATCTGTACTTGGAATAGTTGAAGTGTTACGGCTGGTGAAAAGATTTGATCTTTTAAAAAAATACCTAAAGATGACAAAAATTGAAGCTGAACAATTAATAATGAAACAAAACAAAGTTATTTCGGATTACAGGTAAATACTTTATGTTGCCTTTTTTTGCTTTCTGATTTAAAAAAAAAAATACTTTTAGCATTATATTGTATTGAATTGTACATTTGTTACCCCAACATTTCATATTCCTGATATGTGCTTGTTGTATCCTGTACTTATGGTAAAAAGTATCCTATTCTCTTTGTATTGCTTCCTCTGTGCAAAATATCAGTGATCCTGCCAGCCACCAATTTTCTATTTCAAACTGACCATGTTAGGCATAGAAGCACAAACTTCCGGACATTGCCAGTTTTCTGGCTGTGCTATGTACTCAGCCTGCCCGTCCTCCAATTGCCAATACCTGTGCTGACATGACCCCTGCACAGCTCTTCACTGGGAAGTTCAGTGAATTGCTTCTCCTCTGCATCTTGCTGACACCCCCCCCCCCCCCACACCTTTCCTTCCATAGTCTCCACTCCCACCTCTCTAAGCCCCTTATGCAGAGACAGAGGTTATTCAAACACGTATTAAAAAAGAAAAGGAAAAAAAAAAAGGTATTTATTCATTTTTTTTAAATTTATTTATTTTATTTATTTATTTTTTTGTATCTACAAACACGTTTTGCATTTCATTTCTGTTTTAAACTGAATGGTTGTTTTACAAAGTAAGGGTTCACATACAGTATACTTTAAAGCAGAATTCCTGCCTAACACCAACTATGTTTAAAAATGTTCCTTTCCCCTCTCCTGCTACCTTTGCCTAACCTGTGTAAAAAAATATGTATACTTACCGGTTTTCAGCTAGCTCCAGTCCAGTCACATGATTTTCAGCTCTGGCTGCCCTATGTTGGTCAGCAGTGGCTGTAGGGGAGAGGAGAGAGCACTGACAACAGCTGGGACATGGGACCCAATTGGTAATGTCACCGCTCCAGCAATTGGCTGCCATTTTCAAGCACTCCCACCTCTACCCTGCATCCATCACTCGCTGACACAGGGGACTATGTGACCAGAGCAGGCTGAAAATAGGAAAGTATACATATTTTTTTTACACAGGTTAGGCAGCATAGGTACTGGGGGGGGGGGCATTTTTAAACATAGTGTTAGGCAGGAGTTCCACTTTATGGTTTGTACTAGCTCAGTGAGCCGGTGAAGCAAGGCTTATAGTTAAAGTAGAGCTAAAGGCTGGTAGTTAAAGTAAAACTAAAGCCAATTTTTTTTTTAAATTTTATATTACCCTTAGTTATAACTCCTGACAATTTTATAGTGTACTTTTGGGAAGATTTCCCTTCCCTTTCTGCCCCATTACCACTACAGGAAGTTAGATGAAATCCTTCCCAATCCTGAAAGTGAGAGTGTACCCAGGTTGTCACCAGGGTTACCAGAACTATTGTTCCTATCATAATTTGGGATTTTCTTTCACTTTCATTCTCAGTAAAAATCTTTTCCGGGACAGATAGAGAGGGTGAATCTCCATAATGGGCACATAGGCAGCAATAAAAAGCATAATTTAAAGAAAAAAGGTTTTGCACATACTGGTTTTGACACTCTGACCTGCTGTGGTTTTGCATTGTGCACTTACGGTTCTAGTCCAGCAATGGGCAAACTACGGCCCGGCGGACCTTTTAATCCGGCCCGCGGAGCGTGGCAAACATCGGCTGTCAGAATGTGTGTAGGCGGGGCAGCGTGAGGAACGTGAGGGGAGCTAGGCTCCTCTCACAGTCCGCCCTGAAGACCGTAACGGCGCGGGAACGCGGCGAGAGGAACGCACGGAGCAAAGGTAAGTGAATTGACACAGGGGGGACTTGGCTTACTACTTGGGGGGGAATAGTACTGTGGGGGATGAAATACTATATGAGGGATGAATTAATATGGGGGATGAATTAATATGGGGAATGAATTACTATAGGGGGGATGAATTACTATATGGGGGATGAATTACTATGGGGGATGAATTACTATATGGGGGATGAATTACTATATGGGGGATGAATTACTATATGGGGGATGAATTACTATGGGGGATGAATTACTATATGGGGGATGAATTACTATATGGGGGATGAATTACTATGGGGGATGAATTACTATATGGGGGATGAATTACTATGGGGGATGAATTACTATATGGGGGATGAATTACTATATGGGGGATGGATTGCTATATGGGGGATGAATTACTATGGGGGATGAATTACTATATGGGGGATGAATTACTATATGGGGGATGAATTACTATGGGGGATGAATTACTATATGGGGGATGAATTACTATAGGGGATGAATTACTATATGGGGGGTGAATTACTATGGGGGGATGAATTACTATATGGGGGATGAATTACTATTGGGGATGAATTACTATATGGGGGATGAATTACTATATGGGGGATGAATTACTATGGGGGATGAATTACTATATGGGGGATTAATTACTATGCTTACTATGGGGGAATATTACTATACTTACTATGGATGACACATACACATCATTCATCTACTCTTGGTCCGGCCCCCGGGTCCAATATATGAACCCCTTGCGGCCCTCAAGTCAAAAAGTTTGCCCACCCCTGTTCTAGTCCATCTCCAGCCTGTTCTCAATAGGTGATGGAGATTTAACATAATTGTCTGTCTGTATAGTTGTCTATACTGAGTAAATTTCAGTCAGTTCATTATATTTCTGCACAGCTCTTTTGAATTTTCAACTGGGGATATCAGGCAGGAGGTGGCTGAATGGACCACCCATCAGAAACCAGAAAAGTTCAAACAGTGTATGGCCAGTTTCTGTCTCACTGCATATGGATTCTAAACTTACTCACCTAAACTTGAAAATGTCTATATACTTTCAAAATGGACAATGCTAAATCAAGAATTTACAAGTGAGATATACATATAATTTACAATTTTACATTTTTTTTTTCCTTACCTTTGCAGTTATCTATTGGCAGAAATTAATGGAAATTTGGAAGAAGAAGATTTGAAATCATTTTTATTTTTGTTAAAAAATCAACTAAGGAATGTTGGAAGCATCAAAAAGGTATGTATACCAACTACATTTCTGATCTATAGCCATTATATTTACATATATCCAACATCCAGTTGGCTTGAAATATTTAAAAATGATGTGAATATACAGTATGTGTTGTCACAGGCAAGATTTTTTTAACCTTTTCACCTCCTTCAAATTTGAACAGCTTTCTTCAGCCAACAAAAATCAGCACACATTTTATGAGCATGGTGGTCAGTGTATAATCCTATTGCCAGCTGAGCACTCCTTGATGCCTGGTAGAAACGTATGTGTTAGCTAAAAGCACAATACGCACAAGCTTCCAGGGAAGTCCTCTTTATTGTGCAACACTGAAATGAATATGGAGTGCATCACCTGACCAGAGTGCTTTTACCCAGGCCACTGCTGTATAATTTGGACAAATATAGAGGGAATAACCTAAGAGTGGTACAGGCTTCTTGCCTGCGCCACTCTTCTAACCTGAGAAAACAGAAGCCCCTTTGTTATTGGGAGCCATCTACTCCAAGTTCTATGCAGTATCTGCAACAGGCACAGCGCAAAGAGTGTCCAGCTGCATGCTCTGAATCTCTCTGCCTGCCTCTCCCTGCTCAGCTGAGAGCAGGAGGTAGGAGGAAGTCTGCTAACTTGCAGGTACTGCTCATGTAGTGTAATCATTGCATGAGCAGAAAGGGGATGTCAGCTGTCTGAACACAGCTCACATCCTCCATGCCAAGTCTGACTTGGTGAGGATCTGCCTCAGTTTTCTATACTGAAAACTTCCCCACTCCAGTTTCTATTCCAATCTGAAATAGAAACTGGCATGGATAGCACAGACAGACATAATGAAGAAGAAAAAAAGCATTCAAGAGGCACTAGGACTTTGATGTGAGTTTTTCATACAAAGTAGTGACGGGTAAAAACATTTAGAGAGATCACTGGCTCAGGTTAGGCTGCTCACAACAGAAAAAGCTATCCTACAGTGGGTACCCCAGCAGATTACCTGAAAAAAATGCACTAATGGAAGGAGTGGCAATCCAAAGGATAAAAAGGTACAAATTAATTTATTATACTAAAAAACAGCCATTGCGTTTAGAGGGTCACAAAAAAAATTCCCCCTTCATCAGGGGGAATCATACAAAACCTTGGAATACATACATATATAAATATGTACAAATACATGCATAATTAACTATATATACATATACACATCCATGTACAAATGCACAGAAATAAAAAAAAGAGATATTAGATGGTGATAGTGTGTGATAGGTTCATTTTTGGAACTACATTTTTTTAACCTGTGAGCCCTATTTTTCAGACATCTGTTCAATATGGCAAATTTGATTTTATGTTTAATTGCTTTATCTCATGTGTATTTATTTTAGTTATATATATATAATGGAATAATGGTATGCGCTGACAAAGTAGCATTTGATAATAATTCCACTATTATGTACCATCTGATATTTCTATATTTTCATTTCTATGCATGTGTACATGTATGCATGTATGTATATACTGTATGTGTATAAGTATGTATGCATGGATATGTATACATTTATATACAGTATGCATGCTATCCATGATATTCTAGGATTGTCAGACTTATGATTATATCAGTTACATTTGCATTGTATTGTGTTTTATTATTTGCTAAACGGACTATGCTCTTTTTTTCCCACAGACTTTTCTGAGTCTTGTAATTGATCTGGAAAAAAATAACCTAATATCACCAGAGAACCTGGACTTGTTAGAAGGGAGTTTCCAAAGAATCCGCAGGGTAGACCTGAAAAACAAAATTCAAAAGTTCAAACAAAAAGGTAAGAGACTGCTCTTTTCTCCTGTTCAAGAATTATTAGAAAGTTTTCAAGAAGAAAAAAAAATATACAGGTTGCATAATCAGATATTATAATCAGATACCACATATAAACATTACAGTCATAAAGGTAGTAGTTAGTATATTAGACGTATGAACGATGGTGATAATGTCATGAGAAGCAACCATAGTAAAAGACACAACAGAGAAGCAATGCTGAATAAGTGAGAAGAGTTGTGAAGGTGAAGAAATAAGAGATGGTTTGGAGGGGGTAGGGTAAGGATTAGGTTCATTAGGTAAAGGAGAAGGAGGAAGGTTTGGCCAGGGAGAATTATTAGCCATTATATGTGGTGATGACTGAGGGTAGCATATATCATAATTCAAGGAGGCGGAAGTCTAAATGCACTGGTAAAAAAATAGTAACCCAAGGTTCCCAAACCTTGTAGAACTTGAGCATAGCCTTAAAACATAGCCGTTAATTTCTCATTAAGTAATGCCCATTGTGCCTTACACTTCCATCATGTACAAGTTCTCTGATAGCCATGCTTTTGCTCTTGTCTGTTTAACAGTTGTCAAAACATAAATTACAAGTATAAATTGGTGCTTGGAAATACTGGAGGTTTCCAGCATAGGACTGCTTTGTATGGGTATAGGACGTGACTTCTAAAAGAGAGTTCATTGTCTTTGGACAACAGGTCATGTCCACAATATTAGACACAAATATTCCTGCACTTGGAGGTGAACTCGATACAGTTATGGATCCATTGTGGAGATCCTGGATGGTGCACTCCTTGCTGCCCTCAAAGGACTGGGAGTCCAAACACTGGATACAAAGAAAACAAAGAGAGGGCGCACCGGCCTAGTGCATTACTTATATAACATTTATTGATAGGAATGATAAGTGATATACTCACAAAGGACAAATGTATATAAGCTCACCATAAAGAACAGCACTGTCCAGTCCGCATGGTATGGCTATCCACATTGGAACACTGGACCTCCAACAGGCTAATGCGTTTTGAGGACTTGCCTCTTCCTCAGAGCTAGTATACACAGCGCCTGTACCCTCTTTTATAAATGGTCTGGTATCAAGTGTAAGTGTTACAAGTGGGCCGTCAAACCTCGTTCAGAGGCGGGGACAAAGCTAATAAGTGCTGCCCTTCTCAGGAATAGATTCAAACAAATCAATGAATATACAAAGATCCTTACAATCCATAAAAGGCTGAAACATGTATAAAAATCCATAAAAACATGTATAAATATATACATATAAAACCAATAGAATATGCCATGTATAATAAACCATGTATACTTATGTCCCAAAATCCATCCATACCGGCAACGATGTATGTGAACAGAGTTAATACAAGATAGTGTGCAGAAAGGATGATAATGCAAAGGGAATTAAGTGGAAAAATTATAGCAGTGTATTCACTCTGCTATGATGGATGTGACGGTTCTTCATAACATCTGCAGTGCAGGCTGCCAGCTGGAATGCACACCAGCTGCTTGGGGGCCGGAAATGTGACCGCAGTGTGTTCCACAAGTACTTATTGTTCTGCTGGAATGCAAACCAGCATGAGAATGCCTTGGACAATAAGCCGACCCCTCCTACCCAGAATGGGGTAGAGCGCAGCTTATGCATGCATGTCTCTATGGAGCAGAGTTCAGGTGATTGTCCTTTGTTTTCAGGCACCATAATCCCCCTTCCACTAAGGGTTGCTACTCCCACCGTTCAGTGCGGCTGACGGACTCTCCTTTCCCTTGTCGGGCGCACTAATTGGCCACTGTTCCAGGTAGGAGGGGCCAGCTTATTGTCCAAGGCATTCTCAGTCTGGTATACGTTCCAGCAGAACACTGAGTACATGTCATAGAAATACATTAGATGCAACTTCAGGTGTGATTTGTAAATCTCATGTCTCACCTGAAGTCACAGTGATGTGACCCAGGGCTAAATGTGGGGAGAACAGACCACCAGAGTATTTGAGGTCCTCAAACACGTACAGGGAATGGTGGGTGATAGGTTTGGAAAGGTAGTTCCTATCTCATGGATATAGACACAACAAACTGTGTATGGACAATGGTTCGCAATCAATGGCTTTTAGGGTGACCCAAAATCTCAGAACTGGCATGATATTTCATGAGTTGAGTAAATTGCCTGGCCTAGTAGTATCTCAAAAGTTTGGGATCCCTAGGCCTCCATTAGGTCAAAAGCTGACTTTTTTTTTAATAGGGTATTGCTGTTTTGTTCCTGTAATTTTTCTTCACTTCCTGTCCAATGACAACATTGTCACCAGGGCAGGAAACGAGGGGAAATCTCATTCACGATTTGTACTCACTCCCTGTTCCAAGAACACCAGTGTGAGCAGGCCAGGAAATACATGTAAAACCCAAGCTGGACCATAGGTAGCTGTAAACAATGCAAAGCAAGCTTACTTAATGCAGCAACATGGTGAGTATTGACAGTGCAGTAATACATTGTAATCAGTTAGACTTTTTGATAGTGATAGAACTGAAAGGTATAATGTAATTAGTTTGTACAGATTACTGCACTATACACTTTACTTTTTTTGTGCTTATTAGGAAATCTGTGCTGTACGTTTATAGCTGGCAAAGCCTTAAAATGCTAGATTCCTGGCTGTGATAGGAATCAGTAGATTCAGTACTTTTTGAGGCAGAGATTTGAAACAATTATGCAAATCCAAAATTCAGATTTTCTTATGACTTTTTGGCTTCTTGCTTGTTCTTGGTCAGTGATTCCAGTTCTCCCCTTATGTTATGAAGGGTAGGTGTTCTATAGCCCAGCAGCAATAGCTATTTATTTGTACTTGAGGCATTTTTAAATTATCAAACCGTTGAGAAATGTGAATGTATTACAGCAATGTAATGTATACATGTTTTTATATTTTGCCCAGACATAGAGTTTAAGATATTTTACTCGAAGTTAAACAAATGTCTGTATTTTAGGTCATACTGAAAACAGCAGGCATTACATCAAAACAATGGCAGTACCTCCACCAATACCTAGGAATGAAGTATCATCCTCATTTGTAAGTCATTCAGCTGATAGAAGAGCCAGTAAACAATATGCATTTTCAGATAAATGTACTCTCTGATGATTTATATGTATGATAGCCATTAGGAATGTACACTCAACGGCCACTTTATTAGGTATACTTGTTCAATTGCTTGGTAACACAAATTGCTAATCAGCCAATTACATGGTAGCAACTCAATGTATTTAGGCTTCTAGATGTTGTGAAGACGACTTGTTGAACTGAAAACTGAGCATCAGAATGGGGAAGAAAGGGGATTTAAGTGACTTTGAACATGGCATGGTTGCTGGTGCCAGAAGGACTGGTCTGAGCATTTCAAAAACTGCTGATCTACAGGGATTTTCACGCACAACCATTTCTAGGGTTTACAAAGAATGGTTCGAAAAAGAGAATCTATCCACTGAGCGGCAGCTGTGTGGATGAAATGGCTTGTTGATGTCAGAGGAGAATGGACAGACTGGTTCAAGATGCTAGAAAGGCAACAGTAACTACAATAACCACTTGTTACAACCAAGGTATGCAGAATAGCATCTCTGAGCGCACAACACGTTAAACCTTGAAGCAGATGGGCTACTGCAGAAGGCCACACCAGGTGCCACTCCTGTCAGCTAAGAACAGGAAAAGGAGGCCACATTTCGCACAGGCTCACCAAAATTGGACAATAGAAGATTGGAAAAACGTTGCTTGGCCTGATGATTTTCAATTTCCCTAAAGATGGTTGTGCGTGAAAATCCCAGTAGATCAGCAGTTTTTGAAATACTCAGACCAGCTCATCTGGCACCAACAAACATGCCACGTGCAAAGTCACTTAAGTCCCCTTTTTGTCCCCATTCTGATGCTTGGCTTGAACTTCAGCAAGTCGTCTTCACCACGTCTAGATGCCTAAATGCATTGAGTTGCTGCCATGTGATTGGCTGATTAGCAATTTGTGTTACCAAGCAATTGAACAGGTGTACAAAAGAAAGTGGCTGGTGAGTGTGTGTGTATAAATATACTGTGTGTGTATGTGTATATATGTATGTGTATATGTATATATATATATATATATATATATATATATATATATATATATAAAATATATTGCTGTATCACTGTTTTTATAAAGAATTTATTGGCTTTGTACTTAAGACTGACATGTTTGTTTTTTAATACAATGCCTTAATCTTAAAAAAAATCCTAAATGGGCAATTGAACAGGGAGCAGATCACTCCTAATCATCAAAAAGGCTTGCATCCCTTTTGTTAGAAAGGAGCAGCAGCTGTTTTGTTTTTTTAGTTTTGAAGAGTAGCGCAAACATCATGCTAGTACCACTCTTTGTAAATCCCCCCTTTATGTTTTTTTCCAACCCTCTGTGCAAACATGATTACAATTATTTAACCTTAAAGTATTGCATTTCAGAAACCTGCATACGTGCGCAATGGACATAGAGGTAAAGATTATAATTTTTTTTTTATTAAAGCTTGTTTAAATGTACTAATATTTTCTCATAAACAGGGCTCTCCTAACCCTCCTGTGTTGAATTATATTGTGATTGTACTGCCTCTTATTTTGTAAAGAGCTATATAACTCCTGTATAATAATGATAATAAAAAGGAAGCGTACTACCACCACAATTCTTCCATGGCAGTGTAAAACATATTGTTGACTTTCTGCCACACAGTATTTAGCACCAATAATAAAAAGTAGAACATTGGTCTTATCAAATCTGAGAATGTTTCCATATGTTTACTGCTGCTGCTCCTTGGAAAGCCCCAAAAGGAATTTTGTATTTTTTTTCCAGCAATGGTCCAATCTTGTGAAAAATCCAGATTATGTTGTCCCACTGACAGCTTCTCCTATCTCAACTGTGAATCTTTGTAGCTCCCTCCTACCACTGGCCTCTTGGTTTTTTTCTCTGAATGCCCTTTCTTACCTTTTCACTGTGTTTTGGTGGATGATCTTCTCTAGACAGAGTTGTTGCTGTGCCTTGCACATGCTCTAGAAAATATAAACAAAAATCCTTTTGGCATGTGCTGTACACTGTGCTTCTTTCTCCTTTCACTGCTCATAAGCCACTATTGCTGGCAAATCCCAGCTGTCAAAAATGACAGCCAGGACTTACTTTGCATCACAGTGGTGGCAGTTGAAAAGAACAGTGTTAGGAAGCTTAACTGAGAAATACAATGTAACAACATTAATATTACATTGTATTTACAGTTTAAATAGGTAAAAATAAGTGAGCGCACTACAAGTAGCAGCTGAGCACAATAGGTAACCAGATAAAATCTAAAAATCAAAAATAAAATAACTTAGTGCAGTGCTAGAAATAATAAATCTAATAAATTGCCTTTATGATAAATAAAATAAATTAATTAAAGTTCATGGGTATGTGATCATAAAAACTAAATGTTCCAAAAGTGACAATCGTCATCTGGAGGTGACTACTTCGAAGGTATTCCGGTGCTCGTGCAGATGAAAACAATAAAATTGCGCACTCACCAGATGCACAATTTTAATATTTTAATTATATTTGCATGTTAAAATTGTGCATCTGGTGAGTGTGCAATTTTCGATTGTCACTTTTGGAACATTTATTTTTTTTGATCATATACCCATGAACTTTAATTAATTTATTATATTTATCATAAAGCCGATTTATTATTTCTATTGCTGCACTACGTTATTTGATTTTTAGGTTTTATCTATTTACAGATTAATTTATGTACATTTCAAAGAGGTGACCTTTTATTTGCATATGACACCAGTTAAACCAATCCTACAAATAAGTTTGGTTAATAATAGATTTGTGGTGCTATGAGGAATAATCGAGTATATGGATAACCCAACCCTGATTGATGTTTCTCAAAATGTAATCCTGTACTTGTTTTGTCTTTAGAAACATGGGGTATTTATTCTAAGACCACTTTAATTTCACAGAGGTGGGATAATTATTCTACTTTTAAAGGTGTTTGGTTGTATCAGGGCTTATATAGTACTTTCAGTGCAAAAGGGAGTGAATACTTATGCATTTTTTTGTTTCACATCGACTTCAGGTACTTTTCAATTATATAAAATTCCACTTCCAATTCATTTTAATTTTACATGGTAACACTTTAAAAAGGGGTTGGGGGATACTTTTGTTCACTGTAGCTCAATGATTCAAGAAGCATTATGCTCATATTTTCAAAATCCATTTTAATTCCAGATAGTAACACTATTGAGGGGGGATACTTACGCTCACTGTAGCTCAGTGGTTCAGAAAACTGTCTTAATCTAAAAAGTTTTGTTCAGTGCACTGCAAAATTTATAACTGTTTTTTCTTTTCTAGTGTCAGTTCCAGTACAGGAATCTAGTCCATTCATACAGGTATCATATCATTGGCTACTCATTTTACATCTTTTTTAAATGATCCACTTTATCTAAGAGATAAATCTAGTTAACGGGTGTTAAAATTTGACACAAGGTTTTCATCATGTTTTCAGTAAGTTAACAGTATTTCTACTGAGGATCCTTTTTATTGCTATTAGAGATGAACGAATCGAACTAGGCGAAGTGGAATTCGTTTCGAATATTAGGAAAATCCGAATCCGAAAATTAGCAGACTTCGGATGCGCGAATCGAAATTTTTCCTAAAATGGCGGCGACATGTGCGGCGACGGAGCAGGGATGTCTGGGAAGGCGCGCAGACAAGGCGCGCTGACCCATAATGCATTCATTCATGACATGTGATCGCATTAGCCAATCAGCAGCCAGCCAGCCAGCACTGTGTAATGGTCGAGCTATAAATGCCGGCCATTTTAGAATTCTCCATTTGCCTCCAGTCATTCAACAGAGGCAGACCTGGCTGTATTGAGGGAGAGAGTTAGGGACACAGAAACGTTACTTAGGGACACAGTAACGTTAGTTAGGGACACAGAAACGTTACTTAGGGCCACAGAAACGTTACTTAGGGCCACAGAAACGTTACTTAGGGCCACAGAAACTTTACTTAGGGACACAGAAACGTTACTTAGGGACACAGAAACGTTACTTAGGGACACAGAAACATTACTTAGGGCCACAGAATCGTTACTTAGGGCCACAGAAACGTTACTTAGGGCCACAGAATCGTTACTTAGGGCCACAGAAACGTTACTTAGGGCCACAGAAACGTTACTTAGGGCCACAGAATTGTTACTTAGGGACAGACACAGAATTGTTACTGAGGGACACAGAATTGTTACTGAGGGCCACAGAACCGTTACTTAGGGCCACAGAATCGTTACTTAGGGCCACAGAAACGTTACTTAGGGTCACAGAATTGTTACTTAGGGACAGACACAGAGAATTGTTACTGAGGGCCACAGAATTGTTACTGAGGGCCACAGAACCGTTACTTAGGGCCACAGAAACCGTTACTTAGGGCCACAGAAACGTTACTTAGGGACACAGAATTGTTACTTAGGGACAGACACAGAATTGTTACTCAGGGACACAGAATTGTTACTGAGGGCCACAGAACCGTTACTTAGGGCCACAGAATCGTTACTTAGGGCCACAGAAACGTTACTTAGGGTCACAGAATTGTTACTTAGGGACAGACACAGAATTGTTACTCAGGGACACAGAATTGTTACTGAGGGCCACAGAACCATTACTTAGGGCCACAGAACCGTTACTTAGGGCCACAGAAACGTTACTTAGGGACACACAGAATTGTTACTCAGGGACAGACACAGAATTGTTACTGAGGGACACCGAAACCGTTACTTAGGGCCACAGAAACGTTACTTAGGGCCACAGAATTGTTACTTAGGGACAGACACAGAATTGTTACTGAGGGACACAGAATTGTTACTGAGGGACACAGAATTGTTACTGAGGGCCACAGAAAACCGTTACTTAGGGCCACAGAAACGTTACTTAGGGACAGAGAATTGTTACTCAGGGACAGACACAGAATTGTTACTGAGGGACACAGAATTGTTACTGAGGGACACAGAAGTTACTTAGGGCCACAGAAACGTTACTTAGGG